GAGTGTGTGTGTGGCGGGGAGCATGAGTAAGAGAGAAATGTCGATGTGGGAAAGACACATTGATCGGTTGCCTCCCGCACTTGGTTGTCTCCTGACTGAGCACTGACCGACCAGGGCTGGGGATCAAACTAACAACCCAGATTCATGCTCTTGATGAGGAATAAAAATCGAGGGCCTTCAGTCCGCAGGCCGATGCTCTACTTACTGAACAACATCAGCTAGGGCTGTGGTCGGCAAACTCATTAGTCAACAGAGCCAAATATCCACAGGACAACGATTGAAATTTCTTTGGAGAGCCAAATTCTTTAAAGTTGAACATCTTCTAACGCCACTTCTACAACATAGACTTGCCCAGGCCGTGGTATTTTGTAGAAGAGCCGCCCTCAAGGGTCCAACAAGCCACATGTGGCTTGTGAGCCGCAGTTTGCAGACCGCCGAGCTAGGGCATCATTGACGTGTCTATCTCTCTCCGCCTCCCTTTCTCTCTCTGAAGTCAATATAAACATATAAAAATATTTTTTTTTAAAGAGGAAAGATAAAATAACATTATGTGTATGTTCACTTATTTCCACCTGCTCCTCTTTCACGGTGAAAACCAGAAACCAACAGAGTCACCTCTGATGTGTGGGGGGACAGGGTGAAGAGGACAGAAGGGATCATCCAATCACAACGTGCCATCCTATGCCGCTTCTGAAACCTAAAAATCGTTTACATCACATGTGTCAAACACAAGGCCCGCGGGCCAAATCCGTCCCGCCAGGCCTTGCAATGTGGCCCGCACCTCGCTGTCATCACTGCACTCTGCTGCGTTTCCATCACAATGACAGTTTATGACTGTTCAGTAAACCATTCGGCCCGCGATTTAGGCTGGATTTTAGATTTTGGCCCCTTCTCTGATTGAGTTCGACACCCCTAGACATAGACCAGCCATATCATAGACCCAGCGACATCGTGGGAAAAACACACACTGACATGACTATGCACAAGACACGGGGGGGGGGGGGGGGGTGAAAAAAAAGAAGAAGAACAAGAGGGATATATAGGAATAAGACAGGAGTTGGCTTTTCACAGGAGAAGTGCAGGTACAACATAAATGACCCTGTGATGTCGCACTGGGTGGGAACTTCCCGACACTAAGTGGTCCCCACGGAAGGAAAGCCTGTGGACCAAGGACGGTAGCTGAGGTCTGGGGACCCCTAGGCCTGCATGTAGCTGGTTTCAGTCCCCAGCCCCACCCCAGCCCTTTCAACTCTAGAACCCTCCCCCTGTGCCTGGCTGGAAGGCAGGACTTGATGCTGTAAGCGCCCAGTCTTCTTGGCTGGCTGGCCTCCTCAGTAAACGTCTATATGAGTCCACCCTGCCTTCGGGATTGGACACAGCCACAGCGGCAGGCGGCCCGAGGCCAACCGCGGGTTTCTGGTAACAGGTAACTGACCTTTGGTGCGCAGGCCAGCGCTCTGACCACAGAGCCCCACCGGCCAGGGCCACCCTGCCTCCCTCTTCCTCTAGATAGAAGCTCCATGAGGTACCGCCAGCCAGTGGGGACATCTCAGCAGGCTCAGCAGGAAGCTGAAAGGACCTTTGGTGGCCAAGCTTTGGGAGCTTCGCACCAGAACTTAGGGGGCGGGGCGGGGAGGGGGAGGTGCTCCGGCCCCTCTGAGCTCCGGGCAGGATGCTGGCACCTTGCAGGCAGCCGGGTGCTGGAAGCGCCCTCCTCCCAGGACTAACTTGGAGTCTGGAGCAGAGAGGGGGGCAGCGCGTGAGATGGAGCAAAAGGAGCTTCCCCTCTGCCTCCCTTCTCTGCTGATCACATGGGAGGGCCAGGGGAGGGGCCAGAGGAATGGACAGGGGAGGAGCCTGGGATAGGGGAGGGGCCAGATGATAGTGGGTTGTCAGAGGAGGGGCAAGGGAAGGGACAAGGAAGGGCACTGGGGAGGGGATAAAGGAGGGACAGGAGAGGAAATAGGGAAGGAGCCATGGGGTGTGGACAGGGGAGGGGACAGGAGAGGGACATAGAGGAAGCCATAGGGGTGTGCACAGGGGAGGGGAAAAGGGAGGGACATAGGGGAGGACATAGGAGAGGGGCCATGGGGTGTGGACAGGGGAGGGGAAAAGAAAGGGACATAGGGGAGGGCATAGGGGAAGGGCCATGGGGTGTGGAGAGGGGAGGGGAAAGGGGAGGGACATAGGGGAAGGCATAAGGGAGGGGCCATGGTGTGGGGACAGAGAGTCACCCTGCCCACCCCTGTCCAGCTGGGGGTGAGGTGAGCGAGGACTACTAGTCAGTCCTCTGTCTGCATCCCAGCCCTGCTGGGTCTCAGCGCGAATACCGCCCAGCCACGCGGCTGGGTCCTGCAGATCCTGGGACCCACGCCCTGCCAGCTGGCCCCGGGCTCTGGAGGTGGGTTGGGGTTTGGAGGAAATGTCAGGGGGTCGGGGGAAGGAGGTCAGAGGCGATAAGGAACATGCAGGCAGCCCTGGTTTGCAGAAGCTGGGGGGCATCCGGAGACCTCCGGAGACCTCCGTGAGTCCGGGGCCAGGCTGGCACCAGCCTGTGGCTCATAGCAACAAGGTCCTGGGGCCCCAAGTCCCCACTGGCCCAGGCTGGTGTGGGTCAGTGCATAGAGCATCCTCCTGCGGATTGAAGGGTCCCGGTTCGATTCTGGTCAAGGGCACATGCCCCAGTTGCAAGCTGGATGCTCAGTTGGGGAAATGTAGGAGGCAGCTGATCAGTGATTCTTTCTCATCATTGATGTTTGTATTTCTCTCCCCCTCACCATTCCTCTCTGAAATAAATAAATATACATATGAAGAAGAAGGAGGAAGAGGAGGAGGAGGAGGACCAAAGGGTCCGCCCTTAACTTTGTTGTGAATTGATTTCAGAAAGAAGAAGGGAGAGGAGAGAGAGAAAGAGGAGGAAGAAGTATCAATGATGACAGGTAAACATTGACTGGCCTGTGCCCTGACCAGGAATCGAACCCTGACCTCCTCCTGGTTCTCATAGGCCAACACGCAACTACTGAACCACACCGGCTGGACTTCCTTTTTCAAAAATATATATTTTATTGAGTTTTTACAGAGATAAAAAGAGAGGGATAGAGAGTTAGAAATATGGATGAGAGAAAGACATCAATCAGCTGCCTCCTGCACATCTCCCACTGGGGATGTGCCTGCAACCAAGGTGCATGCCCTTGACCGGAATTGAACCTGGGACCCATCAGTCCGCAGGCCGATGCTCTATCCGCTGAGCCTAAACGGTTTTGGCAGATTTCCCTTTTTTTATTGTTTTAAAATATGTGTTTTTTAGTTTTTACAGAGAGGAAGACACAGGGATAGAGTTAGAAACATCAATGAGAGAGAATCATCCTTTTTTTTTTTAGGGTTTATTTATTGATAAAATTTATTTTTTTTCCATGACCACTGCCACACAATATATTGAGTCAAGTGGGTGGCATAGGGATTAAACATGGCTGTGCGTTAAGGAGTGATTCCCGGACTCCTTTAGACCAGCTCTACGTAAAAACAAAAACAAAATAACACTTTTAACAGCAGCCTCCCCGATGGGTGTGTGGTGGCAACCCCCTGAGGTTTTGGGTTGCAAGTCCTGTCCTGGACTTGGGGGTGTAGTCAGCGGGGGGCCAGGAGGCAGACCCGGGAGGCAGGGCAGTGGCCTGGGCCAGGCCCAGAGCAGGTGCAACCCCACAGGTGACGGGGGTTTTTGAGACCAAGGGCCTGGGGGGCAACACACGTGATCCTTTCCAGGGGATCCCAGAAAGCAGCTGGGAAGGTGGGGTCCAAGAGGCAAAATGGGGAGTGGGGGGGGGACCCCAGTATGTGTGTGTGGGGGAGGGGGGACGGGGTCAGACCTCAGAATAAACCTGGATGCAGAGAACACCAGAGGGAGGGGCGTGAATGCTGGGAAAATGGCCTGAACTGAGCACCTACAGCCTCTGTGAAGGGGTGGGGGAGGGGGGCTGGAGCTGCAGGGACCCAGGCCTGTGGAGAACCTGCAGAGAAGGGAGAGCAGGGAAGGAGTGGGTCAGGGCCCCGAGCCAGGGGAGGATCAGACCTGGAGCCAACCCCTGTAACCTGAGACAGATCTCAGAGGAGATGCCCATCACCACTGAGAATCTTGTGATTTCAGGGGGAAGAGGGAGAACAGCCCTGAAGGACAGTCTCAGAGAGGTGGGAAAGGAGAAGGGGGACAGGGAGAGGAGCAGGGAGGGCACTGATGTTCTGGGCTCTAGCTTGAGCCTCCTGGCACTCAGGGAGCTCCATGCTGGCGTCCTGGGGTTCCCTCTCTCTGGGGGGGAGGGGGGCTCTCTTGTGGTTACTCCTGTGGTCCCTGTGGGGCCTTGTGCTGGCTGAGCCCAGCTTCCACCAGAATCGCCACCAGGATCAGCAGGACCACGCCTGCCAGGCACAGGCTGATGCTGTTCTCCACACTGTAGTCTCGGGAGACGGGGCCTGGAAGCAGAGGGCAGGGGTCACTGACAGGTGGACTCCCTCAGGCCAGGCCAGGCCCTAGGAGGCAGGAGCCCATGCCCAGCAGAACCCTGAGGAGGGGACGCCCCAGGCTGAGGTCCCCCCTCCCCAGCCCAGGCTCCAAGTGGGGGAGCAGAGGTCTCCAAGGGGCTCCTGTGAAGGGGGCGGAGCAAGCACTGAGCACTGGGTTGGTCTGCTCTACCCCAAAGCAAAGAGGCCCCAGTGACTCACCAGCCCTGGAGGTGAGCTCCAGGTGTTGGGTGCTGGGATCCACAGAGGGAACTGGGAAAAAGACAAGAGAAGGGGGAAGCACAGAATGCCCCCATCCCATGGCCAGAGATGCTGTATTTGTTAACACTTGTCTCCTGATCTTCTTTGTGGCCCTGGCAAGGTGCTCCCTGACAGTCCCTAGGGTCCCCTGGAGAATCTGGTGATAGGCATGAGGAAGGGGCAGGGGCAGAAGGCCTGCTGTGCTCCATCCATCCCTTTGAGGGTGATGACCCTCTCTGAAGCCCTCATTGAGGTCCTGCATTGGGGTCATCCTGGGAAGGATCCTTAACCAAACACAGGGACAAGGAGGGGACAGGACTGGGCTCCTTACCTGAGATCTGGTTACTGGGTGGTGACCACACCTGGGGTCTGTTCCTGTAATAGCCATAGCATCTGAACTTCCACCTGTAGCCAAAGTTCATGGGGCCAACAGGGAACAGGGCCTGGAACTGCCCATTGGGCTGTGGCTGTGCGTCCTGTGTCCAAGAGAGCCTGTGATCTCCTTCCTTAGTCAGAATGAACCTGTCAAACCCCTCCACTGAGCCACACTGGAGGGTCGCGTTCCTTCCTGAGGGCACGACAGGGCTGGGCAGGGCTGAGAGGCTGGGTTTGCTGTAGGATCCTAGGAGAGGAGGAGGCAGCATGTTAAATGGGCTCACACCTCCCTCATGTCCCCCAGGGCTTGTCTGTGAAAGGAAGACACTCTGAGAGCAGACCTCCTTCTTGAGGGCAGAGCCTGAGGCTGGGACCCCTGAGTGTCTTCTCACCTGTCACCACCATCAGCTCTAGGGGGTCACTGGGATCTGACCAGCCAGTGGGGCTGTGATAGAAACAGAGATATCTCCCTGCATTGCGCTCTGTCATGTTTGTGATGGAGAACTTGATCTTGTCCCCAGGCTCCAGTGGCTTCTGTGTTTTCCATGGTGCTGAGCTTCCCTCTTTATACAGACGGTACTTCTTAGCCCCTGGGGTTCCTTGACACCAGATGGTCACGGGGTTCCCCCAGGAGATCACAGGGCCTGGTTCAGCCCAGAAGGTGGGCTTGGAGAGGGGCCCTGGAAGGAAATCAGGGGTTGATTCACAAGACCAACCCACCCCTAGTTCCCAGCTCCCAACCCCAAGCATTCCATCAGCCTGAAACAGCTGTTAACCACCCCAAATTCCCAGGGGGTGGCCCTTGTACCCTGGGAGGAGCAGGACCTGGGACACCTGGGGAGACTCACCTGCCTGCACTGGGGTCCTGAGGCCCACACTCAGCCCTGGAAGAGAATCTCTGTGAGAGATTTGCCCTGAACCCTGAGCAGCACCCTCCTCCCCATGAGCCTCCTGAGTCCTGGGGTCCTGACAGAGCAGGGCTCCTCTCCCCCTCCCATCTCACCGAGGCAGAGCAGGACCCTGAGGGTATGGGTCATGGTGTCTTCCTGATCTGGTCCCAAGTGTGCAGATGGAGCCCATGGCACTATCAGTACAGAGGCACAGGGTGTGGCCATCAGGAGGCTGGCCCTGCCAATCTCTTGGTTGTCATGGTAGCCACATTATCAGCCCTAAGGAAGGGGAACAACGTTTTTCAAGCAGCCTGGCTGTGGTTTCCATGACCAATCAGGAAGCAGACCCGAAGCCTCCTGAGCCCTACCTTGCAGGCAAGCTTTCCAAGGGCACTTCCCTCCCTGTCAGAACCTCCCCCACAGGGTCTCCTTCCTCCTCAACCCATCCATCAGCACCTCCCTGTGGTCCTCACTAAGGACAGTGACACCTGGGCCTGGAGATGCTTCAGGAAGATGAGGGTCCCTATGGCTTATAGAAGTGGGTCCCTATGGTATGTCACCAGCAGGGACCCGCTCACCCTATCTCTGTGCAGCTCAGGGCGCTGTCCTTGTGACAGTGAGCACAGAGGGAAATAAGAAAGGAAATCTGATTCTTCTCCTGAGTCCAATTCTCTTTTTTTGTGGGTGGGCATTGGAATAGCCTTTTTTTTTTTTTTTTTTTTTTCCTTCAACAGCATCTACCCGCCTTCCTGGGGAACAAGCCTGACTCATTGCTGCTCCTCATGCCTCGGACAGCATTCTCTTCCTTGTTCTGGGGTCCTGCATGTAACTTTTAGGGGCTTTTTTGATAGGTTAGAGGTGTATTTTTTAAGGAAATAGATGGCCTTTATGTCTGATGCACGAAGATTTGTGCAAGAATGGGCCCCCTTTGCTGGAGCCAGAGCTGCCTTTCCACCTTCCCACGCTGCCCAGAGGCCCAGAGTGGCTGGGGTGGTTGGGAATGCCTAACCATCACCTTGGCGAGGACACAAGCATCCCGCCCCGCCACTCAGTGCCATCTTTCTTGGCTGGTGGGCATGGCGAAGGTACGGCCAATTAGCATGTTACCATTTTATTAGTGCAGATTCACCCCCGATCCCATGTCCTGGACAATAGCATCTTATCTATAGGTGCCCCTCCCCCCAAATGTATACACACACTTAGGATATTTATAAAGACCACGTTTATTAAAAATCCTGCTTTCGTTTTCAGGATTGAGCCATCCGCTGTAACAGTGTGAGTGCTTTTAAGGGAGACCTTGTTTGTGTTCTTGTTGGGGTCAGAGGGGTGGCAGGTGGTCTGGTTCCTGGTTTGTGGGAGAAAACTAGTTGCTGTTCACGTGCAGGCCAGGTGACGATGTGAGAGGGCCGTGGTGTCAGGCCCTGCGGGAAAGACAAATGTCGTCGCAGCCATGCCAGTGCCCTTGTCTGCTTTCACAGACCAATAAATGCTACTGATAAAGTTGTTTTTTTTAAAAAAATAAGTTTTTATTGATTTTAAAGAGGAAGGGAGAGAGCGAGAGAGATAGAAACATCCATGAGAGAATCATGGATCGGCTGCTTCCTGCAGGCCCCACACTGGGGCACAGCCCACAACCCAGGCCTGTGCTCTGATCTAATGGAACCTTAGCCCACTGGTTCATAGGTCGACACTCAACCACTGAGCCACGCTGGCCGGCCTCTGATAAAATTTCTGAAATGCAGGGTGTCTCCCCAAAATGCATACACATTGTACCAGCTGAGAGCTCCCTTTTGAAAATGAAATGTATTTTAGCCCTATCCAGTTTGGCTCAGTGGATAGCGTGTGAGCATTGGCCTGCAGATGGAAGGGCCTTGGGTTCGATTTTGGTCAAGGGCATATGCTCCGGTTGGGAATGTGCAGAAGGCAGCTGATCAATGATCCTCTGTCATCATGGATGTTTCTCTCTCGCTGGCCCTCTCCCTTCCTCTCTGAAATCAATGAAAAAAATATTTTTTTAAAAATGTATTTTAATGAACTCTGCCTTGATATGACTCACAGTGCGTGGATACAATTCTGGGGCCACCCTCCACGTAGACATAGTCCTTGGCAGGAAAAGAGAAATGAAAGTTCCCCAAGCAGACAGGAAAACACAAGAAAGAACAGACAGGACAGCAACACCAAGCAGCACTGGTGCCCAGGACCAGCAGGGGTGTTGCCAGAGGTTCCCACTCCCGTAACCACGGAGAGGGGCCCCCAGTTCTCACAGGGAATGAGGGTCAGGGCCTCGTGGCAGGTTGGAAGCTGTGTTGCCCCCAAACTTGCCAGTGCCGCTTCTCCTTCTCCTTGATGAGGAGTTCCCACAGCTGATGCAGGTTGGCCAGCCTCTGTGCAATGGTCTCAGTATTCAGTTTTCTGCTGTCAGTGACGTTGCTCTGACTCATCTCAGAGTTTTGAAGATGTTGTCAATGCGATGCTGGTGCTGTTGGATTTCCTTCTGGATGGTCTGAATTTTCTTTGTACTCCCAAGCTTTGGAAGGTCTTAATTTCCATGTTTTACTCCAAGCTACTACTACACTTTGCTCTTTCCTTAATTTTTGCTTTCTGCATGTGCTTCACTGGAGTGTCCTTTTAACTTGCAATTGTAGTTACCGAAACTCAGGCCCCACGTTGAGTGCCAATTATCCTGCCCCAGTACTGCCAAGGTTGAACCTGAGGAGGGATGGTGAAGGATTGAAGAAAAGACAGACAAGAGAATGCAGCTGGGGGATCCGTGGATCTCCCTTGCCTGGATGAAGACACAAAAGACCTAGCCTGCCAGCCAATGCTTTATTTCATAGTCTGGTTAAAACAGGGTAGATTAACATGTATACAAATGTTCTTATTTTGGCAACACTTGCTGAACCTCCCACAGTCAATTAATAACTTAGGAAGGAATTAGGGAGGACTATGTGGTCAGGCTTAATTATGCTGGGAGAGCTCTGTCCTCCAGGCTGGGACTTATTTATGACTCTTTCATGGGTCAGTCCAAGGTTTAACCATAGAGACACTCCCTACACCAAGCATCCTATGCACATGGATTCTCTTGTCCTTGAATCACAGTATGGGAGCGTCTGTCTTTCCTGGGCAATAGTGTGAGCCTGCTGGCCTTCTGGCAACCCCCTGCTGGGGCCCTGGGGTGCCCTCTCTCCGGGGGGGGGGGGTTTAGGGGGGAAGGCACCCTTGTGTCTATTCCTGTGGTCCCTGTGGGGCCCTGCACTGGCTGAGCCCAGATTCCACCAGAATCGCCACCAGGATCAGCAGGACCACGCCTGCCAGGCCCAGGCGGATGCTGTTCTCCATCTTGTAGTCCCTGGAGACCGGGCCTGGAAGCAGAGGGCAGGGGTTACTGACAGGGAGACACCACCCAGCCAGGCCAGGCCCTAGGAGGCAGGAGCCCATGGCCAGCAGAGGTCATAGCTCCAAGTGGGGGAGCAGAGGTCTCCAAGGGGCTTTTGTGAAGGGGGCGGTGCAAGCTCTGAGCACTGGGTTGGTCTGGGCTCCCCCAAAGCAAAGAGGCCCCAGTGACTCACCAGATGTGGAGGTGAGCTCCAGGGGTAGGGTGCTGTGGTCCACAGTGGGGCCTGGGAAAAAGGCAAGATAAAGATGAAGGGCAGAGTGCCCACATCTCCCAGCTTTAGATATTGTATTTGTTAACACTTGTCTCCTGATCTTCTCTGTGACCCTGGAAAGGGGCTCCCTGCCAGCCCTGGGGTCCCTGGAGAATCTGTTGATGGGCATGAGGAAGGAGCAGGGACAGAAGGCCCGCTTGTTTCATCCATCCCTTTGAGGGGTGTATTGCCCTGTGGATGACCCTCCCTGAAGCCCTCATTGCAGTCCTACATTGGGGACCTCCTGGGAAGGATCCTTAACCAAACTCTGGGACAAGGAGGGACAGGACTGGGCTCCTCACCTGAGACCTGGAGCTCCAGGGCGTCACTGGGGTGTGAGCACACCTCGGGTCTGTCCCTGTAGCAGCCATAGCATCTGAACGTCCACCTGTGGCTGGGGGTTACAGGTCCCACAAGGAACAGGGCCTGGGACTGCCCACTCGGCTGTTGCTGTGAGTCCAGGGCCCAGGAAAGCCTTTGATCTCCTTCCTTAGTCAGAAGGAACCTGTCAAATCTTTGCCCTGAGCCACACCGGAGGGTCACGTTCCCTCCTGAGGTCAGAATAGGACTGGGCAAGGCTGAGAGGCTGGGTTTGGTGGAGACTCCTAGGAGAGGAGGAGGCAGCATGTTAAATGGGCTCATACCTCCCTCATGTCCCCCAGGGCTGGGCTGTGAGAGGGAGACACCCTGAGAGCAGACCCCCTTCTTGAGGGCAAAGCCTGAGGCTGGGACCCCTAAGTGTCCTCTCACCTGTCACCACCAGCTCCAGGGCGTCACTGTGATCTGACCAGTCAGTGTGGCTGTGATAGTAGCAGTGATATCTCCCCGCATCACGCTCTGTCATGTTTGTGATGTAGAACGTTGCTTTGTTCCCAGGCTCCAGTGGCTTCTGTCTTTCCCATGGTAATGGGATTCCCTCTTTATACAGAAGGTACTCCTCAGCCCCTTTGGTTCCCTGACACCAGATGGTCACGGGGTTCCCCAAGGGGATCATAGCTCCTGGCTCAGCCCAGAGGGTAGGTTTGGGGAAAGGCCCTGGAAGAAAATTAGAGGCTCGGTCACAAAACATCCCCACTCCCCAGTTCCCAGCTGTCTGCCCCAAGCATCTGAGATGTCCATCATCCATCGGCCCGGAAGCTGTTCACCACCCCAATTGTGGCCCTTGTCCCTAGTGCGTAAGGGGACCTGGTACACCTGGGGAGACTCACCCGCCAGCACTGGGGTCCTCAGGCCCACACTCAGCCCTGGAAAAGAGTCCCTGTGAGAGATTTGCCCTGAACCCTGAGCAGCACCCTCCTCCCCATGAGTCTCCTGACTCCTGGGGTCCTGACAGAGCAGGGCTCCCCTCCCCCTCCCATCTCACCGAGGCAGAGCAGGACCCTGAGGGTGTGGGTCATGGCACCTTCCCGATCTGGTCCCGAGTGTGCAGATGGAGCCCATGATGCCGATAGTAAAGACACACAGGGTGGGGCCACCGGGAGGCTGGCCCTGCCAATCTCTTGGTTGTCATGGTAGCCACATTAGCAGCCCCAAGTAAGGGGAACAAAGTTTTCCCAGCAGTCTGGCTGTGGTTTCCATGACCAATCAGGAAGCAGACACACAACCTGCTGAGTTGCCCCTTTAAGATGTGGTGGTCCAGGGCACTTCCTTTCCTGTCAGAGCCTCTCCCACAGGGTCTCCTTCCTCTCAGCCCATCCATCAGCACCTCCCTGTGGTCCCCTCCATGGACAGTGCCACCCGGGCCTGGAGATCCTTCAGGAAGACATGGGTCCCTGTGGCCTGCAGAGCTCAGACCAGCAGGGACACGCTCATCCCCTCCCTGTGCAGCTCAGGGCCATGTCCCTGTGACAGTGAGCACAGAGGGGAATAAGAAAGGAAATCTAATTCTTCTTATGAGTCCACTTATCTTTCTTGAAATAGCCTTTTGTTTGTTTGTTTGTTTGGTTGGTTGGTTGGTTGGTTGGTTTGTTGTTGTTTTTTTGCAACAGCATCTACCTGCCTTCCTGGGGAGCAAGACTGACTCATTGCTGCTCCTCATGCCTCAAACAGCATTCTCTTCCTTGTTCTGGGGTCCTGCATGTAACTTTTAGGGGATTTTTTTTTACAGAAGTATATTTTTTAAAGAAATAGATGACCTTTATGTTAATTCTAGATGCCTGATGCAAGAAGATTTGTGCAAGAATTGGCCACCTTGGCTGGGGCCAAAGCTGCCTTTCCACCTTCCCATGCTGCCCAGGGGCCCAGAGTGGCTGGGGTGGTTGGGAATGCCTAAATTGTCACCTTGGTGAAGACATAAGATCTCGCCCCACCCCCGGTCATTTGGTGCCATCTTTGTTGGGTTAATTTGCATACTCACTCCTGATTGGCTGGTCAGCATGGCGAAGGTACAACTAATTAGCATGTTACTCTTTTATTAGTGTAGATTCACCTCCGAATCCCTGCCCTGGACAATAGCATCTTATCTATAGGTGCCCCCCCCCTCAAATGTATACACACCCTTAGGATAATTATAAAGGCCACATTTAATAAAATGTGTGCTTTCGTTTTCAGGATTGAGCCATCCGCTGTTACAGTGTGAGTGCTTTTAAGAGAGACCTGCGTTTGTTTCCTTGTTGGGGTCAGAGGGGTGGCAGGTGGTCTGATTCCTGGTTCGTGGGAGAAAACTAGTTGCTGTTCACCTTCAGGCCAGGTGACGATGTGAGAGGGCCAAAATGTCAGGCCCTGTGGTGAAGACAAATGCTCGTCACAGCCATGCTAGCGCCCTTGTCTGCTTTG